ATTACTAGAGTTTTCTGTATTTGTTAAGTTCATAAATTTATATTTGAACCGGGGAATAATTAACATCCGAGGACAACTTAGGTTTAAAAAGTATGCATTAAAGGTGATAAAGATCAGAGGAATATTGTAAACTGTAAAGAATGATAAATGTGGGAAGAACGGTATCCATATTTTAAAAATTAAGAAAAATAATAAGTAAGTGAAATGTGATAAGTCTCAAGAATCCGAACTCTGGTAATTTTTGTTTCTATGATTGTATTTCCTCTCAGAAATGTAATTCCTTTGCCCAATTAATTCTTTATAACGAATGAAATTGAGACAGTTCTCATAGTCATTTAATATTAAACATTTAGAAAGGAATGGACTTTAATTAAATAAGAGAGTAAAATGTTAGAGATTGATCTTATGATTAGTTTCCTGCAAAGCGGCTTCTCCGCAAAACAATTTCTATACAGGAAAGCCAACATTTCTGAGGTTAATTCTTTATCTATAATGTTTATAAACTGATTTTTTTTATTTATCGCCGTTTTTATCACGTGAAATAATCTTCCCTATGACCTCTGTACATGTTTTTAAAAATATTTAATTAAAAAATTTTATTTTACTTATTATTACAACAAAATGTTAACATAATATTACATAAATAATTTAGAAACTTATTAAAAATTTAATTTAAACATCAAAAATGTTTATATTCTTTTATTATAAATATTATTATTTAAAATATTGATATAAATAGAGAATTCAGATTCTAAACATAGACAATTATTTCCTTAAAATTATTTTTAAGAATTATATTATTAAATTATTTGTAAAAATAAGCAATTTCAAGAATATTACGCAATTTATTACAACATTGTAATAATAAAATTTAGAAGTTGTATAAAAGTGAATATCATATAATTATATATATTTGTAATTTCTAAATTCCGTCACTAGAGGTCGATTTTTTCAATATGTTTAGAGTCGTACAGTTTCCTCGTTCGTCTGCTACAACTAACCTTATTTGTTTTTCTAATTTAAAATGCTATTTACAGGTAATTAATGTCACTTAATGTGTATTATATAATTTTATAAAGCGATAACTTTTTAAACTTCTATAAAATGTTTCCTTTTTTTGTGAAGGTAAGAGTTAAAATTGTATGTTTATTATGTAGAGAAGAACATTATCCCAAGATTTTATAAATGGGTTGAAAAGTATAGTTGGAGATTCCAATATCAGTCAGTCTCAAGCAATGAGACAGCAACATGGCATGGATGAAGGTCCACATAGGTATTTTGCAATTTTAATGTTAATTTCTGTTGTAAGGTAAGGTCACTTTGGTAAGATTCTAGGTCTGAATGAGACAGTGGTGACCCCTAGACTGTGTATCAATAAAGGACCAATAAAGTTCAGACGTGCCAACCTCTTAGGGTGTGACTATGCAGATGTGAGTGAGCAAGAATATGTGGCAAGAAGAGGTGATGACATTTCACAAACACTGTTTCTTGCTCTCGTTTATTATGACCACACACGAGAGCGAGAAACAGTGTGTGAAATGTCATCACCTCTTCTTGCCACATATTCTCACTTGCTTGGAAAATTCTCTTGCTCACATTTGTATAGTTGAACCCTTAGAGCAGTTTGAAACTGCTGTACATTGTGAGACTCGTTTGGCATGTAACATGTCATACAATTTTGGGGTACTTTATGGTTAACGGGACGCCAGCCGATATGTATGGCAATGGGTAAGATTCAAGCTCTAAATGAGGGGTTTCACACCACCCCCAGAATTGTTGACCATTTGCAAGATAATCATCTCCAAATGTCAGTTTTTAACATGTATCAGTCTACCGCCTTTCTAGATGCTTCACATGCAGATGTGTGCCTCGGTGCAAGCAATAGTAAGCACCTTGGTGCTTGGGTGGGGGTGAGCTCCTCACCCCCTAAAACTATATAACATCAAGCACTCCACAAACAGTCAAGTGGGCTACTCAAAGCTGGCATGGTGGCATGGGCTAAATTGTTAAATGCAATAGTCTTCTGGTGTCCCATTAACTGAAAAAAACAAATTTTGGTTTATTGCCCATCTTTTTCAATCGTCATTTCGGCTATCATCTGGTCAGACCTTTTTTCAATGGGTTTCTTTACATTTATTCTAATTAAAGCATTTTCATTTAATTTCTTTAAATATTGTTATTTGAAGCCCAAAACTTTGGCGCACACAAATATTTTTAAAGGTAATTATGCTCACTATATGGCATGCAGACTCAAAAAGATTCATCTTCTCTGTCCTAGAGGATCAATAAAGACCAAAGGGTATAATTTATTACACCTCTGAATGAGACTGTTGGGACTCTAACAGAGTTGAAGACCATACCCATAAAAGCAAAAAACTCTTCAATCATTTAACAAGGATTTGCTTCCACTTCTGCCTGTAAAACAACATTATCAAGAGACACTGGTCTTCCTGAACGAGGTGAGTCACAAAGATCAAAATTACCTGACCTGAACCTAGTAAACCATTTCTGGCATTTATGGACATATACATCACAAATATTTTTTGTAGCTTTTGTTGCATCGCTACTTTCCGAAATTTGAATAACATACAATGTTGAATATGAAGCTCTTCTGGTTTTTGGCTTGATATTTCAAATAGGGATGTTATAAAAATGAAATTGATGTGTAAAATCAAAGAAAAGAAGTCACACCAACTGCTATATAATAGGCTAATCAGTAATTTAAATTATTATTGCTGGAATGTAGCCTGATATTATATGGCAGTTGGTGTGGCTTTAATGTAATGAATCAGGTTTTGGAATCAATTGATTAGCATTAAATAAATGTTGATAATCAAAATACAACATTACTTTCCAGTTTCCCTTATATTTCATACTCTGACATATTTTTTGAAATTCTGAAAGCAAAGTTTAAGCAATTGGCAAGCAATTATATAAGATATTTATTTTATGTTGTTTGTCAATTATTAATAATTTTCTACACATAGAATAGGAACTTTTTGTATATAATTACAATGATTATTAAATTTTTTCAAATTTTTTAAACATATCATTGTATATGACAAAAACTTTATAATAAAATTCATGCTGACTACATAAGTTTCATTCTTTGAAAAGAAAAAATGTACAAAAGTAATGAAACTTTATATATTAATATAATAATAA